AGTGCCCCACACATGCTAGGCAAGCACTCTGCCCCTGAGCCACAACCCCATCCCTATAAATGGAATTTTTAAATTTAGTTCACTGTGAGTTCATTATTGATGTAAAGAGATATTGATTTTTGTGTTGATTTTGTAACTTAACCACTTTACTCAATTTATTTATTAGGTCTACATGTCTTCTGGTGAAATGTTTAGGATCTTCTACGTATAGGATAACATCTGCAAATAGGAATAATTTGTCTTCTTCCTTGCCCATTTGTATTCCATTTATTTCCTTCTCTTGACTAATTGCCTGGATAAAATTTCAAATATGTATTGAATAGGAGTGGTGAGGATGCACATTCTTGTCTTATTCTCTATTTTAGAGGAACTATTTTCATTTTCCCTATTCAATATGAGATTGGCTTTTAATTTGCCATGTATAGTTTTTTATATTGAGGTAAATTCCTTCTATCCCCAGTTTCTTCCGGGTTCTTCTTATGAAAGGGTGCTGTATTTCATTGAAGGCTTTCACCTCATCTATTGAGATGATCATGTGAGTCTTGCCTTTGATTGTCTTCATGTGGTGTGTTATGTTTATTGATTTGGATATGATGAACCAGTTTTGCATTGCTGGGATGAAGCCAACTTGATCATTATGTATTATTGTTATTATGTTGTCAAATACAATTTGATAATATTCTGTTAAGGAATTTTGCAAGGTTGTTGCAAAGATTTTTTCAAGGATATTGGAGTTTTCTTTCATTGAGGTATCCTTATCTGGGTTTGGTGTCAGTGATACTGGCTTTGTAAAATAAATTTGGAAAAGTTCCATCCATTTCTATTTCATAGAATAATTTGAGGAGCATTGGCCTCAGTTCTTCTTTAAAGGTCTGGAAGAATTCAACCAAGATACCATCTGGTCCAGGGGCTTATTTTGTTGGAAGGATTTATATTACTGCTTCAATCTCAATGATTGTTCTTGGTCTGTTTATAATTTACATCCTCGTTTCAATTTTGATAGGTTATTGGTGTCTAGACATTTATCTATTCTTCTAGATTTGACAAATTCATGGATTATAAATTTTCAAAATAGTCCCTAATTATCCTCTGCATTTCAGTGATATCTGTTGTGATATCTTCTTTTTTCATCTCTATTTTTTTAATTTGGCTCTTCTCTCTCTTTTTTTTTCAGTTAATGGTTTGGCTAAGGAATTATCAATCTTGTGTATCTTTTCAAAGCACCAACTATTTTTTCAAATTGATCCTTTGTTTTATTTTATTCTCTATTTCAGTAATTTTGGCTTTGATCTCAATTATTTTCTTTCTTTTACTGATTTCAAAACAGTTTGTTTTTGATTTTCTAGAATGTTGAGATGTGTCATTGGGTTGTTTATTTGTATCTTTCTAAGTTTTTCATGTAGGCACTCATAATTACAGATGATCTTATAATTGCCTTAATAGTGTCCTTGAAATTTGCAGGTATTATATCTTCATTCTCTCTTGATTTTAAGAATTTTTAAAATTTCTCCCATGATTTTTTCTAAGATCCTTCACCTTCACAAGTGTGTTGTTCAACCTTTATGTTTATATAATTTCTGAATTTGTCTTGATGTTGATACTAATTTCATTCCACTATAATCTGATAAGATGCATGTAATTATTTCAACATTTTATATTTGATAAGTCTAGCTTTGTGTCCTAAAATGTGGTCTATTTTGGAGTAAGTTTTATTAGAAACAGAGAACAACATGTTAGGTGAAATATTCTGTGGATATCCATTAAGTCCATTTGATTTTTAGTATGCTTTAGGTCTGAACCATCTTTGTTTTTTTAATATTTATTTTTTGGTTCTTGGTGGACAAAACATCTTTATTTTATTTTTATGTGGTGCTGAGGATCGAACAGAATGCGCGGGGCATGCCACGCGAGTGCACTACCACTTGAGCCACATCCCCAGCTCCACTGAACCATCTTTGTTGATTTGATGTCTTCATGACCTATCTATTGGTAACAAAAGTATTTTGAAATAATCCAGTATAATTGTTTTGGGATCTGGGCCTTTATGTCAAGTAGTGTTTGTTTTATGTAACTGAGTGCATCAATATTTGGGGCATAAATATTTACTATCATTATATTTTCCCATTTAATTATTCCATTTATTAATATGTAGTGATATTAATAAGAATCTTTCTCTGATTAATTTTGGATTGAATTTTGCTTCATGAAACGAAAGAGTAGACATTCTTACTTGCTTTCAGTCTCCATTTGCATTGAGTATAATTTTGCATTCTTTTCCTTTAAGCCTATGAATGTCTTTGCCTGTGAGATATGTCTATTGCAGGCAATACATGGGTGAATCTTGTTTTTTCTTAAATACAAATTACCAATCTATGCCTTTGAATTGGAGAATTGAGATCATTTACATTCAGTGTAATGATAGGGATTTCTTTATTATTTTAGTGATTTTGATTTATTCAGAGTGTTTTATTTAACCTGATACTTACTGCATAAGTATTCTTCTAAAGAGACTTATTCTTTCCTGAGAACTCTTGTTTGTTTTTTAATCTCCTTCCATATGTGGGATTTATTTAAATATCTTCTATAATGCTGACTTAGTATTCAAGAATTATTTTGTCTGTGCTTGTCTTGGATGACTTTCATTTCTCTTTTGATACTGAAGGATAACTCTGCTGCATTATGGAAATCTTGGTTGATAGTTTTTTTTTGAGGGTTTCTTCTAAGTGTATGTGTAAAAATCATATAGTAGTCTGTACAAACAACAATAAGTGTTGGCAAGGATGGGGGGAAAAGGTACACTCATACATTGCTGGTGGGATTCCAAATTGTTGCAGACAATATGGAAAGCAGTGTGGAGATTTCTTGGAAAACTTGGAATGGAACTGCCATTTGACCCAGCCATCCCACTCCTCGGTCTATACCCAAAGGACTTAAAAACAGCATACTACGGGGATGAAGCCAAATCAATGTTTATAGCAGCATAATTCACAATAGGAAAATTGTGGAACCAACCTAGATGCCCTTCATCAGATGAATAGATAAAGAAAATGTGGTATATATAAACAATGGATTATTTCTCAGCATTAAAAGAGAATAAAGTCATGGCATTTGCAGATAAATGGATGGAGTTTGAGAGTTACCATAATTGCTAAGTGAAGTAAGCAAATCCCCAAAACAAAAAATGCTAAATGTTTTCACTGATATGAGGATGCTGATCCATAATGGGGATGGGGGGTGCATGGGAGGAACGGACAAACTTTAGATAAGGCAAAGTAGAGGGAGGGAATGGGAGGGGCATGAGGGTAGGAAAGATGGTGGAATGAGATGGACATCATTACACTAAGTACATGTATGAAGACACGGATGGCATGACTCTGCTTTGTGTACAACAAGAGATATGAAAAATTGTGCTCTATATGTGTAATATGAATTGTAATGCATTCTGCTGTAATAGATAACAAATTAAAATTAAAGAAAAGAATCAGTGAGTAATATCCACAGCTTACTTTTTTGTAAATTAGGGTACATAAAATGCTATTAGGGCAAAATATTATGGTATCCAGTATCATATCAACAGTACAAAATGTATTCAAGTATTCTTGAATGTATTTCAAGAGTACAAAAAATATGTTGGTAACACTTGGTATTCATGAGTAGCTACATTTTGGGTAGATGAGGCTATATCTAATTAAAGCCTGAACTAAGGTAAAATTTTTCAAAAGAGTATTTGTAATGACAATTCAAACTAGAAGAATAAAGATAATGGTAGTCATTTCGTGAGCTTTCAAAAAGTGCAGCTTCTATATTGATTGTTTTACATGCTACATTTCATTTAGCACTCATTGCAAGTGATTAAACATTAGTCCTATTTCACATAATAAAATTAAATACTACAAGAATTAAAGAATTGCAGGTATATACTTTTCTGAGATTTTACTTCATATGTATCACCTTTTATCAGTGTTGATAGAAAAATTTAGACAAGAGCATGCTGGGCAAGTGTATTAGATTTCTGTCACTATCACAAAATACCTGTTGAAAATCAACTTAAAAGAAGGAAAACTTTGTTTTGGCTCAGGTTTCCTTCTCTGGGTCACTTGACCCAGTTGCCTTCAGACCCATGACAAAGGAAAGCTGCTCACTATGTGGTGGCCAGGAAGGAAATAGAGAGAAACTGTAAGGGATAATTGTCTGAATATACACTTCAAGGGCAGACTTCCAATGACCTTCCTCCAACTAGACCCACCTCTCAATTGTTGCACGACCTCCCAATTGTTACAAAACTGGGCAATCAAACTTTTAGCACATGGTGTTATGGTTTGTATGTGAGGGGTCTTCCCAAATCTCCCTAATTAATGCAGGAATTTTCATAGGTGAATTACTTGAATTTTCAGAGCTATAACTAATCATTCCATCTTAGTTTAAATGACTAGGTGATAATTGTAGGCAGGTAAAGTGTGACTGGAGAAGATGGGTTATTAGGACATAACCTGGAAGGGTGCATCTTCCCTGTGGCCCCCTCCCCTATCTCACTCTGCTTCCTGACCCCATCATGAGCTGAGCAGCTTTCCTCACCTTGGGCCCAGGACAATGAAGTTGGTAAATTGTGGACTGAGAGGTCTGAAATCATGAGCCTAAATAAACTTTTCCTCCTCTAAAAAACAAACAAAAAAAAAAGAAATCAAAAGTGATATATTTTGGAAGGCAGGAATTCTTAATATATTTATTTATTTATTTTAAAGAGAGAGAGAGAGAATTTTTTAATATTTATTTTTTAGTTTTTGGTGGTCACAACATCTTTGTTTGTATGTGGTGCTGAGGATCGAACCTGGGCCGCATGCATGCCAGGCAAGCGTGCTACCGCTTGAGCCACATCCCCAGCCCTCTTAATATATTTAAGGGAAAACAATAGTGTTCCTGAGATGTCCCCCATATTTATTAATAAATGGAAGCTGAGTAGATTTTCAAATTAAAAGTCCTTTTTAATATTTCTTTCTCAGATGGGAAAGCTGACAACCATGCCAGCAGGTCTCATGTACGCATCTGTAAGTGTACGTGTGTCCAAGGAAGAGGAATACAAAAAGAAGCTAATGAGACCAGACCAGGTAAATTGCCTACAAAAGTTTATGGACCTTACATAATGTAAAGACAATGCAAAATCTCTGTGGTCGTTGTGGTGATGGATGTTGTTTCATTTACCTTCATAATAAATGTATTTGAAATCTGTTATGTCTGTTTGATAAGTTGAAAGAAATAATATCTCTAAATAGTATATTTAACATAAACATCAAAAACTCTGGTGAAAGGTATTTGGTGATTTTTCTTAATGAATAATTAATATTAGTACAGGGTCTCATACCTTCTAAGCAGCATGACTTTTCTTTCTTGAAAAACTTATATAGATATATCCAGTATTACAATGTCTCTCAATCATTATATCAGTTTTAGAAGGGATATTAGATGTTTTCTAGTTCAGTCTCCTGTATGGCATTATAATCTCCTCTACAGTAGTCACACTCAGTGGCCACTTATCTTCTATATGTATAAATCTCTGCATAAAAGAATCTAAGGAACACGTTCCATTTTCTGGATGCTCTCATTCGATTTAAAGTCTGTTAGTCAGCTTTCTGTCACTGTGATCAAAATACCTGACAAGAACAACTTGAGGGTTGGGGTTGTGGCTCAGTGATAGAGTGCTCGCCTAGCAAGCACAAGGCACTGGATTCAATCCTCAGCACCACATAAATGTAAAATAAAGATATTGTATCCACCTAAAAGCTTAAGAATAAATATTTTTTAAAAGAACAACTTGAGGAAATTTTTATTTTAACGTCACATTTCAGAGGTCTCAATCCATGGTCAGCCAACTCCATTGGTCTGGGCTGGAGGTAAGACAGGACATCACGGCAGAAAGGCACTAATGCTGTCACTTCATGGCATCCCGGAAGCAGAGAGACCAAAGGACCAAAGACAATATATAATGGCCAAAGACAGGCCTGCAGTGGCCTGTGTCCTCTAGCCACCTCACATCTGCCTGAAGTTATCACCCTGTAATGCATGCAGATTATTTATCCTTTAAATGGATTAATCCACTGTTGAGGTTACAGTTCTCATCATTACCTAAAAACCCCACCTCTGAACCTTTCTTCAATGAGGATCATGCTTTTTAATATAATATGAGATTTTAAGGGAAAATTTCTAAATCTAAATCATAATAAGGTTCTTCCTTATGTCAAATATAAACCTGCCACATAATAATTACTACCATTGGTGCTAATTTTACATTGACATCGTAAAGAAAACATCTCATTTCTCTTCCGAAAAGAGATGTCAGTTTTATCTTTAATGATTTTGTGTCTTAGCCTATCATCTTTGTGATAAATACTTGTGATAAATACCTGAGGAAAGGTTGATTTTGGCTCATGGTTTCAGAGGTTTTAGTCTGGTCAACAGACTCCATTGCTTTGGACCTGAGATGAGACAGAACATCATGGTAGAAGGGCATGGCAGAGGAAAGCTGCTCGGCTCATGACTGTTGGAAAGCTTAGAGAGAGAAAAAGGGGCCAGGTTCAGATATTGTCCCCAAGGGCAAGCCACCATGACCTTTTCTCTCCAAACATGCCCTTCTTGCCTACAGTTCCCCCCACCTCCTGGTAGTCCATTAAACTGTCAAAGGTTTAATTCACTGATGAGGTCAGAGTTTCTACTCTAATTGCTTCCCCAAAGCCATACATCTGCGCATTGCTTCATTGGAGATCAATCCTTCAACGCATGACTCTTTGGGCGATACTTTATATCCATACCATAACATTTTGCTTTCTAGATGAAAATATTAATTGCTTTAATTATTCCTCATTTCATAGCTTTTAGTTCCTTCATTGTCATTATCACTCTATGCCTCACATGTTCTGGATGGTTAATGTTTTCTTTAGATATATTTTGACTACTGCAGGATAGAATCAAACATTTTCTCCTGTTGTAGTATTACATTTGTATTAATGCTGCCTAAGATCATACTATTTTTATATTCATTTTTGTTTGGAATTCTCAAAATTAACTGTTCTCTTAAATAGATTTTGACCAATGCCGCAGTCTGGCTGGGCACAATTCAGGAGCCACTTGTCAAAAGAAACTAACTTTATTTTTAGAACTACAAACCCCAAACAAAACAGCTCCTCAGGAAAAAACCCTCAGAGNCTGATACTTTTAAAGCTTCATACAAAGAAAATCTATTGGTGAATATCTACCATCTCAAATTCAATGATGATTATAAGCAGATTAAAAGATAGCATCTTTCTTTATTGGAAAAGAAAATACACAGTCTCTAAAGTCCCAAATAACTATTATTGAAACAAAAAAAGATGGAAGATTAATTGGATTTAAACTCTAAATATCATCAATTATATTTAAAACAAAGAGTATATATATAAGTGTGTGTATATGCTGAGTGATGAAAATTTAAATATCCCAAACACCTTGTCTAGGCTGTTAACAATTTCAAATCATAAAATCCCAGATTACTACTTAGAAATCTACTTCAAGTCTTTGACTCACTGAGAGAATATAATCCTGAAGGCACCATATACACTTCATGCGCTGTTGGCAGCTGGCAGTCTGAAGGGCGGGGAAACAGCCCAATGAGCAGCTCCGCAGAGGAGCCAATCAGCTAGATGTTGCTGGGGCCACTGTGAGCCAATCATCAGCCGGCAGCTGGAAGTTTGCTGGCAGCTGGAAGTTTGCTGGGGCCCCTTTGGCTGTGGCTCTCGACAGACCATGACATAGTGAATTGCAGTTTTCTAAGTCACTAACCTTTTCACATAGGCTACTGGTAAGCTGTGTCATGTCCCACTCTGTACTTACACTTTTGGATTTATTTGACTCAGTTGCCAGGTGTATTTATGCCTCTCTAAATTTCATCTTGTTGATCTGGCCCACCATGCTTACTTGTTGAGCTTTTGATGTGATTATGGATTTTGTTTACTACTATGCTATTTATATCTACCTGTCTGAAGTCACACCTAAGATTTGTCTACATACTTAGTGATGTATTCATAAGTCATACAGGTCTGAGTCTGAACTCTGACTCTACCAATAAACTGCTAGATGATATTGGGTAGAAATCTTAATGGTGACATAAATATTCTGTTGTATAAATGTATCACTATCAATTGCAAAAATATCATAAATTTTTGGAAATTGAGAGTGCTTCCAGTAATTTTGCTATTATACCATGCTTATTTAACCACTTGCTAACTAAATCTTTGTATACATCTGTAACTGTTTCCTTAGGATGAATTTCTAGAAGCAGAAGTATAGGAATGGTGGCGCAAAAATTGATATATTGGCAAGCTAATGTGCAAAACTGAGATATTCACATATTACAGAAAAAGAAAAGATTTCCTGAGTTCCCTTCGAGTTTGTGTAAAGTTCCCTTTGAGTTTGGTTTTAAGCACTGGGTAAAGTGTTATTATTTTTCATTAGCAGTCTTGGATAGATTCTCCACCCTACCTACTTGCTGACTCTCAGTTTTCTTTCTCTTTATTAATCTCAGAAGGATGATATTTTTAAACCTCACTTGACACTCCCATATTTGGGCAGCTCAAAAATCTAAGTAGGAAGATAAATAACTGACGTTTGTTCCTAATAGCTAAATTCACATATTTCTGAATTTTAAAGTAAATAAGGGCATCTTTACTATATTATGGATATATGGGGTTGTAGCTCACAGTGTTTGCCTAGCACATGTGAGGCACTGGGTTCGATGCTCAGCATCACATAAAAATAAATAAATACAATAAAGATACTGTGTCTCTGTATAACTAAAAATATTTTCTAAAGTATCAGTATGCTCCTGCCTTAGTAAGTGCCATATAGTGAACATAAATAAATCCTCCTTTATTAGAAAACTCTTCAGGACCACAGAGTAATCATTTTTGACCTTGAAAATTGCAGTATTCAGGTCAGTAAAATGACTGGTAATTAGGCTGCATGTAGGTAGCCAGACACATACATAAACGGACACTTTTTTTTAAAATCCCTCTGACATGAGCTTTACTTATTTTCTTGCCATTTGCTTCTTTTCACCAAGAAATAACTGAGAAAAATATTGATTTGAAGTTTCTAGTTACTTTGGTTCAATTTAATTTAAAACATGGTTTTATAGCTTACTGGATCTAATCATGATTTCTAACTGAGTACAAATAGATTGTGTTTATACAGTAAGTGGCATTTAAGGCCAAGGCCTCCAATTTATAGTGAGAATATTCTCTCAGTAGAAACTGTAGTAACATGGTACTGGCTGGTTCTTAAAATTCTAACAATAGAAATGATATCCTTTTATATAAACATTTCAACTGTGCTTGAATGCGCATGTCTAAGAAGAAAATATTATAAAGCACTGGTTCTTAATCATTCTTACCCCTTTGAGAATCTGATGAAAAATTTAAATGTACTTCCTAGAAAATGCATATATAAAATTTTGCTTACAACAGACCACAAATAAAAAACTTTTTTCTTTAAACTCTTTATCTAATGTATGTTGGGATATAAATTAAGGATCAGGAGATTACCATGAAGATAGGGAAAAGAATAAGAACAATTAATGTTTAATAATGTTTGGAATTAAAGAATGTAAAAGTATACAGGGGCCATGATGGACAAACATTTAAGTAAATAATTTTGCCCACTCTAACACCAGTACATCCACATACACAGTCTCTTTCTAGGGAAGAAGGAAACTTTCCTTACCTGTAACATACCTGCTTTTTATATATAATATGTATTTTTAATATAAAATATGCATGTCTGACCCTCCTATTCATCCATAGTTGCCAACTTGGTTAATTTAAATCCCAGCATTAGTCTGGAAAGAGAAACATTAACTCTTTAGTCCTAGTATGGGTAATAAAGGGCCATTTAATGGTAACACAAGACTTTTCAATACTACTGGAAATTTTGTGAAGCTGATACTGTCCATTTGTCTTTATTTTAATGTTTTGAATTGATAGGTAAAATTGTATGTATTTACCTCATACAACATGATATTTTGACACACACACACACATATATATATATATATATATATATATATATATATATATATATATCATGGAATGCCTAAATCCGATTGTTAACATATTTATTATCTACCATAATTATGATTTTTTTTAAATGATGAGAACTCTTTACACCAACTCTCTGAGTATTTTTAAGAATATAACATATTATTAGCTATTATGTTTGTTCTTGGTACAGGATGAAATCCAATGATGTTAATCATCTAGTTCCCTTGATGTTAATTTGTAAACTTTGTTCTCCCCAATTATATCTTCATCCAATTTCAAAGGAAGATGCTACACTCTGAACATAAAGGCAAAATATTTTTTTTACTTTTATAAAGTAAGATTTTACCTTAAAAATTTTCATCATTCTATTATGTTTATATTTGGTTTTATTGAATATTGACTAGCATTAAAAGCCTATTCATATAATATATGAAAGGTATAAGAACTAGCAGTACTAGTATGATAATGAAGAACCATGTACCTATCACCCAATTTCAAGGAAAAACAAAACAGTATCCCCTGGGTACCTATCCTGGTTCATTCAGGTATAACCACTACTCTGAATTCTTACTATTCCCTTCTTTTATAATTTTACCTTATATGTTTGCATGGCTAAACAATTTGGGAATTTTTGGTTTTACATATTTGATTGTATGTTGATAGAAACATGCCTACATGCCATTTGTGCATCTTATTTTTTATTTTTGCTTAACATATTCCTGAAATTAGTCCATATTTTTCCATATGACTCTCATTTTTCTATTTTCTCTAATTTGTAATATTCCAGTGTATGGATATATTCCAATTTACACATTTTTGTGTTCATGGACATTTAGGTTGTTTAAAGATTTTTACAATTATAGTTCTGCTATGAATAATAATATATATATATACCCCTAAGTATGTAAATATGGTATTTGCTTCTATATATACCTAGAATTAGAGCCACTGGGTCAAACTATAGGTCGTATCACTTAATTTCTGGCCTCTTGGGTCCCTAGTCTTACTAACCTTTTTACCACATCATCTCTATATTTAAGATGGAAATTTTATCAACAATCTCAGTTGTTTTTAGGAGGAAGATGGATAAGTATTCCTATTCTCTAATACTGCAGGAAAAGGCAATCTAGTTATTTTATGTTCTTGACATGAACATTTTTCTGCCTTCAGCTCCCCATATATACTGCACCACCTCTCCAATCTAAATATGTTGAAGAGCAGCCTGGTCATTTACAGATGGCCTTTGCATCTATCCGCACTACAACTGGTCATTACATTGGCTGGTGCAAGGTAAGTCTATTCTGATAAGTGGTTTTGTATTAGACATTTCAGCTTAATTTCCAGTTATCTACTGATGTGTAAAATTCTACCCCTAAAACTTAGTAGCTTGCAACAGTAAGTGATATGTCTCATGCTTTTGTAGGTCAGGAATTCGATCAGAATTCAGACAGATAATTCTTCTGTTGCATGTGACATGTTTTAACAGAGGCCATTTGTGGTATTTATCTGGCCAATGGGCTGATCTGGATTGTACAAGACAGCTTTATTTGCATCTTTGGAACCTTGACAAGGATGGATGGAAGACTGGGCTCAGCCGGGATTGTTGACTGAAGCATCTGTCATGATCTCTTAAGCATGATGGCCTCTAGGTAGACAACTTTACACGGCAAGTTCAGGACTCCTTATGACAAAGCATTATTTACCTCCTACATGAAATTCTGAGATTACTTCTGAATTATTCCTTATTTAAGTGAGCAAAATATTGTTCACTTGAGGTTGGCACCTATTAGGCCAAATAGAATTCATCAGACTTTGATGCTTTAGCCTTGAATAAGCAGTGTTCATCAGCAGAATGGTGGAATAAGCTGATAGAACACAGATATTTCATTATCATCATATAAACATTGTATTTACATGAGCATCTCCAATGTGAGTTTCTTCATGATAATAATGCTATAATGTTTTCACCATTCTGACCTAATACCCATACAGTTTTTTCCCAAATATAGCCTGATTGTGAACCTTTGTGCTTTTTAGTTTCTAATCCATTCCTTTTAAACCGAAAATTCTAATGAGCTTAGGAAAAATAATGTGTCCTTTGTAAAATACCAAATCAATGAACTCTGGTCATTCCAGATGATATTTCAAACATCTGATGAATATATGGAGTTATTTTTTTGAAAATTTTTGCTTGTCATATATTTCTAATGGTACTAGTTGTACTGCATTCTCTTAATACTTTGATCTCTGACGGAAATATCTTAAGTAATTATGGTCTGAATCATGCTCCCATGGCTATATGCCAATAGTCAGATGATTCAGATTTAAAATCTCCTGAGACCTAATTTTCTGTAGGGTTCTCAGATGTGTCTTCAGTGAGGTAAATTGTCCCTGAGAGATCTTTAAATTGGTATTGTAACTCTCAACCGTTTTAAGACTGAAAGAACATTTTGCTGTTGATATGCTAAAACAAATAGGTTGAAGAAAAACATTTTCAAATGTATTTAATATTCAATATAAATAACTTTTACTCTTTAATTTTTCACAAAAACAATCTATTCTTTAAAAATTGTGTCTGCCTCAAATTGCATTCTGCATGAAACCTATAATCATGTAGACCAAATTCATACTTCCACTCTGTAGTGTTTTGAAATTTAGGTAGCAGTGCCCCCCTGTGGTACAAATGAATTCCTAAACTCAACTAAGGAATTTTTCCTGAAGACTTATGGTTAAATGATTTCCAATCAACTCGTCAACAGGTATTTTAATGTTCAAAGTTGAAATTTTCTTAAGAAAGTCCACAAAGAGAAGTAGCACAGTGGCAGTTAGGTGTGTGTTGGTTTGCATAACCTTAAATCAGGATGAACAGGACGAATCTCTGCAAAGATCAAACTGAGACAAAATTACTAGATCAAGATCTCAATACCAATAACTTTTTTCCCATCTGTTATAATTATTTCTGTTTTTATGATTTGAAAAATCTCCCTTGGTCTTGTTTTTAATCCCATGGTTTTGTAGCACCTAGTTCAGAGAAGGAGTTTGGTTTGTGTTTTCTGGTTTGTACAGCATGGTTTTGAGTAAGTCATTTTGTGACATCAATTTTCTTCTAATGTAAATAGAATAATACCCACCACACAATAAATATGTATAAGAGTATTTTTTGCATTAAAATAAATTAGTTAAAAACAGGTAAAAGGAAAGGCTTGCTTTAAAGCTTTAATCCCTCCAGTGGGTTAATATGATTTTGTTTATGTAGAATTTATGTTCTTATTTAAAAATTAGATGGATACTAGTCAGAGTAGAATGATTTGTATCCTGAAGTAAATGCCTTATTTGTGTTTTCCTTATATTAATGCAAACTAAGAAAAAAAAGATGATGAAGCTCTTTTGTTTAGGTTTTTCCCTGATTTTGTTTTTTCTCTACAAATCATTCTGTTGTTGCTATTGTATCTTTGTTCATCAGATGTTGCTTCTATGTTGAAATATACCTCCCTTCATGTTTTATTCAAGTTCCATTTATTTCTCTAGGCCATTATAAAAGAAGATTATAAATCTTTATATTTTTTCAATATCTTTTCTGTGAACTGCTCTGATTATTTTATAGACATTACTTTACCCACTTATATGAGGAAAATAGTAAACAGGTATTATTCATGTTAAATAGAATGAGAAGCAGAAAATGAAGAGAAGCTAAGTTAAGCAAGTATCTTCATTGTGAGTGAATTAAAAAGCTGAATTTATATTTTGATGTAATGCTAAGTGAACTTTTTCATATAATATAAAAAATATGGGCTACTTGATCTGATTATCAGAAGCTTCAAAAATGTAGTTATCCTTTTATCTCCCTTTTTTTCCTCAGGGTGTTTATGTCTTTGTGAAAAATGGAATAATGGATGCAGTACAGATTGGAAAAGGTAACTGAACCATCCATAATTGGAAATGTTCTATTATGTTTTTAATATGCAGTATTTGAATATGAGAAAAATAAGCATGGTATCCTATTCCATTATTATGTTTTTACCAATTCAGAAGATATTCTGTATTTTACTGATAATAATAACAAAGCAATAAATATCTACTATTTATTTAGCTATTATTATATGCTAAATAATTATATAAAGTATTTTACATAATTTTTCTCATAATTCTGTGAGTGTTGGCATTAAAAGTATAGTATTTATATTTTACAGATGAAGATGCTGAGGTTGGAAAGATTAAGTAGGTTACCAAAGTCACACAGTTAGTAAGTGGAACTAGCCCCAGTCAAACAGATCTTTTTTAACTGTAAAGTCCACATTATGTTCTTAAAAAGTATAAATTAAAAATATTTCTTCATTGTTGCTAATTAGTTTAAATAAATGTTATTTGCAGCTGTGTGTGTTTGTGCACACCTGTAATCCCAGTAACTCAGGAGGCTGAGACAGGAAGATCACAAGTTTGAAGCCAGAGTGGGCAAGTTAGCAAGATCCTCTGCAATTTAGTGAGAACCTGTTTCAAAATAAAAATAAATAAAAGGGACTTAGGGTGTAGGTTAGTAATAGAGTACCTCTGGATTCAATTCCCAGTACCAAATGAAAGTGTTATTTTCTATTTAAATGGATAGTATTTTGCTATCAATTGCTGGAAAATGATAATAGTAGTCAACCTGCAATATATATAAACTACTGTCAGAAATTAATTATATTTGACTCTTCAGCTCATTAATAGTGTTTTGGCAGCAGATGTAGGTTTCTAATATTCTTGGCATATACCAGTTATCAGAATAAATATTCATTAGACAGAGAGGTCACCTAAAAATTTAAGTATCATCCTGAAGTTGATGACCTGTATTTGAATTTAATATGTTGAGAATTCAAAATTACTTCCCTCATCAATCTTGAGGAATATGACTAAATATATGCTTGTCAATAAATAACTTGGACAAAAGAGTATATTTCTAAACTATAATTTAAATATACAATAAGCTAAGACATCCAGATTTTTGTTTATTCTTCATCTGCTTTTTATCTTGCCTCACTTCCTTACTGACCATTGGTTTTAACCAAGAGCAATGGCTGCTCTAAGGTTGTTGGGAAATAGTGGCAAGCAAGGTCTAGTCACCAAGCTCCTAGATATAATTATCTATTTCATTTCTTACTGGATCCTACCAATGCTTGAACAGATAAGAGATAGAAATCATGAATTTGTCTTAAAGTAATTCGTATTAAGATGGACCCTCGGGGCTGGGGTTGTGGCTCAGTGGTAGAGTACTCGCCTAGCACATGCAAGGCCCTGGGTTCTATCCTCAGCACCACATAAAAAGAAAGAAAGAAAGAAAGAGAGAGAGAGAGAGAGAGAGAGAGAGAGAGAGAGAGAGATAAAGAAAAAAAGAAAGAAATTGTGTCCAACTACAACTAAAAAATAAATATTAAAAAAGATGGACCCTCTAGCATTATATTTTACAGAAGAGTAATAACTGTGTGTATCATTAAGAAAATAAATATCATTCGAGTTTTTATTTTGTGACAGTAATTACTATCAAATTTTAGATCATTGTTCATACAAACATTTTGTACAGTTCTTTTAAAGAGTGTTTTTAATCCATTCACTGTTACCTTATTGTCCACTATTAATAATCTCTTAAACCATTCTGCATAATACCTGTAGAGAATACCCAATTGTAGTCAGTCATTTATATTAATTTTTACCTGATTTTTTGAGATGCATATGTCTATCTGAAGAATCCACCTCAAGATTTTCTTCCAAAAATGGGAGTGATTACAGTTTCAGGATTGGCAGGCCTGGTTTCAGCAAGAAAAGGTAGGTTTCAAAAATATGCTCTTTCAATGTCATTATATCAATTTAAATTTTACTCTGATGAGCAAACCTTATAGCCTTTGTTGAATAACATTAGGATAGGTTGGTGTAGAAACTTTAGATTCCTTAATACACTGTGTTTACTTTTATAAAGACTTATAAAATTTTTTCAGTCTCATTACAGGGAAATGCAGATGAGAACCACAGTGAGATACCATGGCACAAATATTAAAATGACCAAAGTGTATAAGACCAACAATATCAACAGTAATCAAGAATGGAGAGCAGCTAAAATTCTCATGCACTACTTGTAAAAGTGCAAAATGATATAGCCAATATGAAAAATAGCTTCACAGCTTCTCGTAATCTGAAACATATACTTCATATGCAACCTAGAAATTCTACTTCTGGGTATATACCCTGGAGAAATACAAACCTGAAATTGATCAAATTATGCTATGTGCATGTAGGAATATACATAATGAATGCTACTTTTATGCTTAGCTATAATATAATAATTAAAAAGATTAAAAGAAGGAAGATAATAGAGTAGAGAGAGGGGGTTATGGGAAGAGAAAGATGGGAGGGAATGGAGAAGTATTGGGGATGAGTTGAAGCAAATTTTGTTATATGTATTTATGAATGTCAAGATGAAACCCATAGTTATGTGAAATTATAATGCACTGATAAAATCATTACAAAAGAAAGGGAAGAAGAGACATACCTGTGGTACCCATTAAATACTAACATTAATAAGACCTGATAAGTATCTGGACTATCTAGAATTATCTGTAGTCCATTAAATAGCCTCAGAAATTCATAAGCCCTGTAAAATTTTATATAAAAGTTATCTATGTAAATTTTATTGGGATTTTGTAAATACTCAAGAATCATGAACTACATATAAAAATATGAAATAAAACTAATGAAATAAAAAACTTCTATGCAATAGTTTCTAGTGGCTCTGTTCATAATCATATAAATCTGGAAGTAATCCAGATGTTTGTCAACTTGTAAATGGCTAAAAAAAATTGTGGCATATCCTTACAAATGAATACTATTCAACTACAAAAGGGAAGGTGATTGTGCTATGTCCAGCAATCCTGATGAGTCTGGGGGAAAGAAGACAGTCTACTTACATTTTTGTTTCGATGACATTCTTAAAACGAAAAACTATAGTGAGAGAAAACAGGTAATTGATTCCCAGGGGTTAGGAGTGAGGAAAGGTGCAATTACAAAAGGAGACAGCATGAGGTATTTTTTTTTAAGAATGGTAGAATTATTATGTATCTTAATTGTCATTATAATTACATGACTGTACATGTATTGAAATTGATAGAAATGTACAAACTTGCTGTATAATCATTTTTAATAAAATGTTAAAATATATATTTGTTTCTATTAAAATTGAATTTGACATTTTTTCTTCTAGGTAATGTTATTTTTTAAGCATCTTAAGAATCTCTTAAATACCAAAAATGTTCTTGAGAGCTTTTTGTTAATATAAATATATATATATATATATATATATATATATATATATATATATATATATATTAACCACTCAAACCACTTTTGTTACTCATGACCTCCCATATTCTGGGGGTATGTTAAGGCTTTGAGATGATATGCTATATTGGATAAAATTTAATTTACTTTTAGTCTCTTCTAGACCAAAGTGGTTGGGACTGTTTAGCCAGCTCAGAATGGATCTTTGAAAGTAGACAATTTACCTCACTACTCTCATTCATTGTGAGACTTGATATGTTTTATTTCTTTGCCCCTTTTTGTACCCTGTGTTTCTACCAGCTTTGTCCTTCCTTACCACTATACCACTTGTGTGGAGAGTCCCTAAGACCATCCCTAGATTTGGTAGTTAGCTAGAAAAACTTATAGGGTTCAGCATATGGTCATATTGCAGTGAAATGATACAGAGTAAAATCAGCAAAAGGAAAAGGAAATGGTACATAATGCAAAGTTTGTAAGAAACCAGGTATAAACTTTCATGAGTCCTTTCCTAGGAAGTCATCCTGGGTCTGCTTAATTTCTTCAGTAATGAATTGTGACAATATGAATGAGATGTTGTCGACATGAGTTGAGTCACAACTATAAGCTGAGTGAATAAGGTTTAATTGAGGGATTGCTAAAGAAACAGTATCTACCTACATGTACCAAAATTCCAAACTTCCAGAAGGAAAGCAGATATTCAGCATAAATCACATCATTTGTACAGAGTTTAAAAAACTTGAGCCACTCTTATTTAGCAAATGTTTTGAATTGTTATAAGGAACTGGTTATTGATTAAGTGCCCAGCTGCTAGCCAAGGGCCAACATTGCCTGCAGGGTTATCTAATGATAGTGGTCTCAAGCATCCTTTGTTAATTCTTTCTCCATACCATTAAATAATCCTATCTGATAATTACACAGTGAATTTTGTTTTTGGCCATTTTTTGCCTCTAGATATGGTTATTCCTCTCAGTAGGCAATAATGTGTTGCCTCCTCCCCTAAGCCCTTATTAAGCTAGTGTAGGTCTCTGGTCAGTAGCCATTTTGGCCTCCTTCCATCCATTCTCTGTCCATATCCAATTTACTAAACATTGTCCCCAAACTAAAGTACTTGAGGCCTGGGAATGTGACTCAAGCGATAGTGCGCTCGCCTGGCATGCATGCGGCCTGGATTCGATCCTCAGCACCACATACAAACAAAGATGTTGGGTCCACCGAAAACTAAAAAATAAATATTAAAAACTCTTTCTCTCTCTCCCTCTCTCACACTCTCTCTTTAAAATAAATAAATAAATAAATAAGTAAGTAAATAAATAAATAAATAAAGTACTTGAGGTAGAGCTCTGAACCATTCTGCAGTGTGGTATCATTTTGTGGTTGGTTTGTCCAAATGTATAATCCTAAAAGCAGCTTCAAGTACACCTACTTAGGTAACAGAGCTTTGTCCATATTTAGAAAAATTGCAGCATCCTAACTCTAACCCATATATCTCACTTCAGTAGAACCAACACTCTTCCTATATGTAATAATAATGCCTACATCCCATTTAACACATGACCAACTTCTAATTGAATATGCATTACAAATATTCAGTAGAAAATACCTTAAAACCAAGATCTCCATGTGTAACAATAATACTGATAATTAATTTTATAGATTTTATCTTTATTGATTATTTTAATTGTATATATATATATTTCTGTGGTATAATGATCAAATCAGGGTGGGTAACATTTTCATCTCCTGAAAAATTTGATTTTTTAATTAGCACACAATAATTTTATGTGTTTATGGGGTACAGTATGATATTACATTACTCCTATAATTTATACTGATCAAATCAGGATAATTAATGTCTCCATCTCATCATTTGTTTGTTTAGAGACTTCAAGCTCCTCTCTTCTGGTTTTTCCTAAAATATGTAATAGGTTTTAATAAACTATAATCACCCTACTCTGCTATAGAATAGTAGAATATAATATGTTTATTTCTGTACTGGCAACCACTATCCAAACTCCCTTTCCTCTATCTGCTTCCTCCTAAATTTTGAAGGGAATTGTCCAAAATGCATTACTTAATTTCTCAGTAAGGAACTCATAACCTTCTTGTAAGAGAAATTGTTCCTTAGGTCATTCACCATGTTTCTGAATGTCAGCTAATATAATGTAATGCATGTTTTTTAGACTTCACATTTCAACCTACTAGTAAGTGGTGAAATAAATGTAGATCTAAGAAAGCATTTTATTAAAAGATAAAATAGAGAATAGCAAAGATCACAGTTCTTTGTATTTAACATGGGTAAGTATGAAATTTTTGTTTCTGTGAAGTGTATGTATGTGTGATATGACATAAGTCATAATGTAAAATTTATTTCTTAGTATGAGTCATAGTAAAAAATGTTTGAAATCTGTTATTTTCATCTAACTCTGTTAAGCTACAAATAGAGGTAAAAGGAAATCACTTAATGGCTTCTTAGTATAACACACAGGTAGTTTGTGATTGTATCTAGAATCCTTTTGTAATTATTGGAGTAGGAATATTGAACTTAAATTTATTTTTTTGCAGATTAGCTTATTATATCAAGTAAAGAGAGGACAAACCTAAGTTTTCTAATCTTTAAAATAACACATCAAGGAAAAACCACCACCTACCAAGTTTAGGAGCAGCACAGTTGCAGAAATTTGCTTGAGTCAAAGGAACTAAATTGTGAGATAATAGGACTATATAATCAACAATTAATAGAAACTGTAATAATACTGAGCAGGACTAAAAGAGCAAATTAGTACATCTTTTAATTAACCTAGACCCTCTGTTCTCATATGGTATAAAAACAGTTTAAATCTCAAGAAAACCTACATAAGAAATACTAGGAGGGCTGGGGATGTGGCTCAAGCAGTAGCGCGCTCACCTGGCATGCGTGCGGCCCGGGTTCGATCTTCAGCACCACATACAAACAAAGATGTAATGTCCACCGATAACTAAAAGATAAATATTAAAACTCTCTCTCTTTCTCTCTCTGTCTCTCTCTTAAAAAAAATAAATAAATACAAGGAGTTTGCCTACCGACTTCCCTCAAGCTCAGTCTATAATAGGCATGACTGTAAAAGGCTATGTTAATAATAAGTAAACCAGTCAGAGAAATATACTGTTTGTTTTACATTTTCCTAAAGTACAATGTTGCCTGTAAATATTACCAGATGCTTTTTACCTTAGTCTTTGTTCATATGCCAGATAAGATGTTTCATTGTTTCTTTAATTTTTAATGCATTATTATTATACATAATATTGGGGTTCATTTTGATATATTTATGCAAGCATTGTATATAATTTACTCTAATTCTATTCCCGGGACTTCCCCTTTTCCTCCACTTTTCCCTTGCCCTGTTCCCTTTCCTCTATTCTACTGGTCTTTCTCCTGTCAGAGCTTTTTCTTTTTTTTTTTTTTTTTTTTTTTTTTTTTTTTTTTTAATTAGTGCCTTGCAGATACACATAAAGGTGAAATTCACTATGATATATTCATATATATTGTTATGTTTGGATGCAAGGTGTCCCCCAAAAGCTCATGTGTGAGACAATGCAAGAATATCTGGATGAGAAATAATTGGGTTATAGCCTAAAACTAGTCAATGAATTAATCCCTGATGAGATTAACTGGTAAATGGGGGCAGGTGGGATATGACTAGAAGAAATGGTTCATTGAGGGTGTGGCTATGGGTTATATATTTTGTGTCTGGGGAATGAACTTTTTCTCTCTCTGCTTCTTGACCATCATATGAGCTGGTTTGCTCTGCTACAGTCTCCTGCCATGATGTTCTGCCTCACCTCGAACCCCAAGGAATGGAGCCAGCCTTCTATGGACTGAGACCTCTGAAACCATGAGCCCTCAAATACACTTTTCTTCCCCTAAAATTGTTTTGTTCAAATCTTTTAGTAGCAGTAGCGCAAAAGCTGACTAAAATATGTACGTAGGATACTTTGGTCAGTTTCATCCCACTGTCAAGTAGGGCTGTTTGAGAAAATAAAAAAAAGTACTTACCCCAACTTAAAGCCCTATTATATAATTGCCTAACTATATTTACGGAACTCAAGATACCCAGCCAAGCATTTAACATACACATTATTTTGAATAAACTGTCTGGTGGACCCAAGCTTTAGCTTACAATGGTGGATTTCTAACTTTTCTGCAGAACCTAGAGTTCCCTGAAAGTGTTTAGGGGTGAATAGAGACAAATGAATAAGCCACACAAACAAGGTGCAATACTTAGCTTCTCACTCCTGGTTTAATCAGAGCAGCTTCAAGTTTACAAGTTTTATGTGTTAAAGTTCCTAGTGAGAGTCTAAATGGAAATTTTTTAGAAAGGGTTTTGCTCTCAAAAATGGTTTGAAAAATGACTCTTAGATGCTTATCCTAGATCAGTGACATGAAGGAGTTATGTACCTTTTAAAGTCCTTAGCTGATTACTTAGTTGAGTCATTCAACTTCCTATGAACTTAATAAAAAAAAGAACATATGAAATAGTTAATTTAACTTTAATATGGTGACACCAACCCAGTAGTTGATTAATTCTTTATATTTTCATCCTTTGTTAGATATTTGAAAAAGTGTGGTTATAACTTTGTTTCTTAGGACATGAAAAGCTACCTAGCTTCAAAACAGAAGAAAATCATCAGTTCCTTTTGTTTAGGAAATTATCGGTATTAAAATGAGAACACTTTTCTTAATTGGACATAACAACTAAAGGGCATTCATTAATTGATTTGAGATCCTTAAGGGCATTTTAGATATCACTTTGATTGGTATTATTATCTAAAGAGCAATTTAAAAGAGGATGATAGCTTAAGGAGAGCAAAGGAAATGTTATACTATAAGTAAAAGATTCAGGTCTCTTGTGGCATCTATTTGGAATTTAATATACCTTTTTGAATTTTATAGGTTCTGGGTTTAAGAAGGTTGTTTATCCACTAGGAATGGCTACTTTAGGAGCAACTGTTTGCTACCCAGTTCAGTCAGTAATAATTGCAAAGGTAAGTTCTTTTTAAGTGATACCAACCTTTCATGATTTTTTTTAAACTCTCAGTGTGACAGTATAATACCTGCAATATTTAATTTTGGGAGATATATAGTTGGTATCAAGTTATGTAGGCAAAATTACATTAGTACCTCGGCCTGGTAAATGTCATTCTTAATTACATAATCATCACAAATAGTATGAATTTGTTTAAATATAGTTCAACAACATACATGCAGGTTTGAGGATTACATTCAGAGACACTGAATTAGAATTTATAAGCAGAAATACTGCTCCATTGATGCTATATAAGATTCAGGTTTTTAAAAAAATATTTTTAGTTGTTGATGGACCTTTATTTTATTTACTTATCTATATGCAGTGGTGAGAATTGAGCCCAGTGCTTCACATGTGTGAGGCAAGTGCTCTACTGCTGAGCTATAACTCCAGCCCCAAGATTCAGTTTTTTAGTAACAGAAAAGTATGCTTTTTTGCAGCTGTTCATTTGAGAAGATTAACATAATAAAAGAAATAATCAATTGATAGATTACAGAGTCTTTGGAATATTAAATGGTCATATACAAAATGAATTTTGAAAACACCTAGAACAAAGAAACATCTTTCAAAAATGCTTATTAGAGTTGTTTCATGATTTTCTTCTGAGCTTACCTATAAATCTAAAGATTAAATTAATGATTTGAATAGTTTTTGTTAGTATTTTATTTTTAACACATGTTCAGATTGAGAAGGAGAATTTTGGGCTATGCATTTTTCCTTCTTTTCTTCCTCCATTAATTATCAACATTTAACATTTTCCTCTCACACTTGATGCATAGAGAAGGACTTTATGTATTTATATTTTCATTTGTACATCTCTTTAATTATTGATATAGATAAAACTGCCTATTCAGTATTTTGAAAATGTCAATGATATCATGTACTACATAATTTATAATATGATTGAGCTATAAAAGTTTATAGCAAAGGAAGAGAGCATTAAATTTAGTTACACTTGAGAGACAGCATTGATTAATAAAAACATAAATTCATTTTTAAAACTCCCTCATAAGATTTTATGTTGGAATTAGCCACTGAAATTAATACCATGTTGATGTTCAAAGAAAACTTTGAGGACATTTAATTCAGTGTCCATATTTTCTCCTTTGCTGAAAAGGAAAGCATGTCAGTGAATTTTTAGTCACTGACTTGCCCAGGATTACACTCAGTTGCAGATGCCCTGGTTTCCTCTCCATTAATCTTCCCAGTGGAGGATGCCACCATGGATGGTATATTTTTTCTTTAATTGCTTTGTATTCTTTGTTTAAGCAAAATGATACCTACCCATCTCCTTAAATAGTACAAGCATTATAGAAAGAAAAGTTTGTCAGAAAACTAACCACTCACATTACTTCTGTCCATAAAAATAACAGTATCAAAATTTGATAGAATATACCTAGACATCTTTCCATGCATTAAGAAGATAGAAAAAATTGATGGGTGAATGCACAGATAACTGTGAAAATAGTATGCATCTTTTTTGTTTTTAAAAGTACGATATTAAGGGGCTGGGGTTGTGGCTCAGTGGTAGAGCGCTTGTCTAGCATGTGTGAGGCACAGGGTTTGATCCTCAGCACCACATAAAAATAAATTAAAAAAAAAGGTCCATCAACAACTAAAAAATATTTTAAAAAGAAAGATATTAAATATAATTAATTTTTACCAAAGGAAAAATAAAAGAATTGCTGAACTTCAAATAAAAGTTTGTTTAATATAAGAGATGTTAATATTAATTCCCTAAAAATTCTTCTAGGATAAATAATGATTGTTATTTAAATTCCTAGAGCTGAAATGCTTGCTATTCCTTTGTCACATAACAATATTATGTGTAACATTTGGCAGAATATATTATAGAGAGAATGTGATTTCTTAACCTGAAATCCATGATGGACTTGAGTCTATTACTCACTTCCCCATCCAAATTTTCATAAAAAATGTGTATATACAATAGAAATCTTCCTATTTGATATTATCAGGATCAGTAGTTAACAATTGAAAATACTACAGCATGTAATTGTAAAAAAGATCTAAAAATATGTATCTGAAATTTTATTTCAAATTAAAGCATACATAGTCATTTTTCTCCATTTTAAAGGATGACTTTGAGTACCAGTGTCCTTGATGAAGATAAATCTTTCTTACAAATGTGTCATATCTACAAATTCCTGTTTACATTCCTTGAAAATAAAAATCACACTTAAAACAGGTTTAAAGTATATGAATGCTGAATTATGTTAAATTTTATCATTTTTCCAAGCGTTTTACACCTATCTTATTAACCTTTAATTTCATAGGATTCAATTTTTAATAGCCCTTTACTTTGAGTCTTTATAAAACTTCAAAGTTAATTTTCCTACAAACTATTTTTTAAAATTTTTTAGTTGTAGACAGACACAATACCTTCATTTTATCCATTCATTTTTATGTGGTGCTGAGAATCAAACCCAATGCCTCATACATGCTGGGCAAGTGCTCTACCACTGAGCCACCAACCCCAGCCCCAAACTAATTTTTTTCACACTACTTTTACCATATTATATCACATATAAATTTTTTAGTTACAAGTAAAACTGATGAACAAATTTGGAGAAAAAAGCTATGTATTCTTGGTAAGCAGACAAACCAAGTACAAAAGATGTACATTGGAATATTGGAAAATAGTATTGATGAATATTCAGGATTCTATGAGTATCATTTACTATAAATTTAAAAAAATATATTTGGTTAATTTGGAAAGCCTTTTTAAAAGGATGTCAGGTAAGAGATTTTCTACTCTTTTTTTTTTCCAGAAGGAAAGGGCCCATAACTTCCAAGAGATTATTCATGGTATCTGTGATTTTAAAAGGTTAAGAAATAATAGTCCAGAAAATCCTTTGAAAATCAAATGTCTTTTTTGAGTTATTTACCATATTTTATTTTTTTAAACATTGTATTTTTAAATACATGACAGCAGATTGCATTACCATTCTTATTACACATATAGAGCAAACTTTTTCATATCTCTGTTGGTATGTTATCTTCCATCTTGAAAATATACTTCAAGATGGGATTATTCTTTGCTTTTCATACTTTTCCTCATAATTCATTTATTTTCCTCTATGAAGATTTGCAAGTAGTCTTTCTTTGAAAACTATAAAATATCTAGGACTAAACTTACTACATAATTTTTTCAAGTCTATTTAAAAAATTATGAAACATAATTGAAGGGCATTTTAAGTTATAATATATTTAATTGAGCAATAGTGAATATATGAAAGGTGTGCAATGGGCGTATCTCATATATGTGTGTGTATGTATGTGTGTATATATGTATGGTTTTATATAGTGATTAACATAACCAATTAACACAGCCATCACTAACCAATGCTGCACATTATATCCCCAGAAATTGTTCATCATATAACTGAAAGTTTCTACCTTTGATAAACATTTCTGCTACCCCCTCTCCTTAGAGTTCTCTGCTTAATCTATTATCTGTTCTATTCTGGTACATATACAAAAGAGTGTCTTGAAGAAATATCTGTGCCTGCATGTTTATTGCAGCATTATTCATAATAGACAAGATTTGAAATAACCTCAGTGGATGAATGAATACAGAAACTGTGATACGTAGATAAAGATGAAATGTTGTTTAGCCACAAAAAAAGTAGGAATCATGCCACTTGAGACATCATAGATCAACCTGAAGGACATTATGCTAAGTGAAATAAGCCAGACACAGAAAGACAAATACTGTATGTCAATTATATGTGACATTATATGTTTTAAAATCTTCAATATGTTTATAGATATGTATCTTATTTCTTGATGAAAAGAATAAACATTGAAATATGTCAAATATTCTAAATCTAGAAATTTAATTCAATTCTTACAGAAGCCCTTGATTAAAATGGAGGGTAACATTCAACCAGCATTTGTTGTCCATTTACAATGTATTGTTCACTATACTAGGTTAAAATATAGATGATAAAATATATCAAGAGAATGAAGAAAATGTGCAAAAATTATATTAATTTTTTCTGTACAAGGGAGTGGAATTTGGTATGTGGTAGGAGTATATTTTCAGATCAAAGGACGGAACAAAGGACAGAATATACAAGAAATGTGTTGGAATAGTTGACTGTTCAAAAAAATAATTAAGAATGTTACCAGCTATGATGTAAAAAGAAATTTCTAAATTTTTTAAGTGGAATAAAAATATAATCAAAAATAAAATGCTACTTAAAAGGATGAAATGGGGAATGTTTATATCATTTTGTCATAGGAAAGGTCTTAAGTAAAACAGACTAGAAGCCATGAAAGAAAAAATTTACATATTTGTCTATATCAAAAGAATTAAATTACTATGACACAATATACTATATACAAAGTTAACAGATAAAATTAAAAAGTGGGAAAACTATTTGTAATATATATATATATATATATATATATATATATATATATGACAAAGGACGAGTAGTCTTCATGTATTAAGTGCTCCTATAAATCCATGAGAAAAAGATGAATGCTTTCTAGGAAAATGGAAAAAGTACATGAAGGGATAACCCACAAAAAGTAAATAAATGGCATGATTTTATGAAAGATGATAGATTTTATCAGCACTCAAATAACTGCAAACTTATCTGCTCATATAGATATTGTTTTCATGGATAGTTAGTGTGTAGTGCGTGATGTGCTGGGCATTGAACCCAGAGCCTCATGTATGCTAGGCAAGCACTCTACACTGAGTTACATCCATAGTCATAGATAGTTGACTTTTAGCCTTGCAACTTGAAAAAGATTTAAAAGATTCATAATACTACTGCTGATGAATAGGGTAAGAATACAGAACTGTGTTCTTGGAGTGTAAATTGCTGCAGTATATTGCTGACTTCTGGGTGTCATTGTGGTAATATTATCAAAAATTAAATGTTTGTACTAATTTCTTCAGAAATTTCATGTCCAGGAATTTATTCT